TCTAGGAGAATGTCCTACTACAAAAGACAGAAAGGTTTAAAATCTGAAAACCAAAACAAATCAGGAGATTCAGAGTCACTCATCTTAAGAAACAATGTGCATTACACCTATAGGATATGATATCAAAGTAGATTTATGTTTGCAAAATTAAGAAGTAGTAGGTAACTGAATGATCCCAGACAAAATTAGTCAGGAAAGAAAGGCACACATTATCAGTATTCTCTCCTAAAGCAACCATGCATTTAGCCAGCAATTGCCTACTAGCAGTGTATGCCATTTTATGAAGTTGGAGGACAGAAACATAGCCAGCCCTAAAGGTTAAACGGAGAGGTTGGAGCATAACTTTTTATTCACTTCATCTTGAAAATAACATGGTAAAAGAGGGCCTCTGATTTGATGCTGCCTTCTCTGGAATGTACAGTGCAACTGGATCTAAATTTTGGGAGAGTGCCCAGTTTCACATGTCTAAAGCCTCTGTTGAAAGCAGTGGAGACTACACACTGCCAAAGTTTTATGTATGCAACTGCAGATTGATTGCCTAATGGCAGTGGTGGGCTTTGATCATGAATGTCTGGAGAGAGAAGTCTCAGTAGGCACCCTTTCCCCCATTTTCCCTTTACCCTTCTAACTCCTAACTCTACTATTTTTCTGTTTTGCCCCTGCATTTACTACCATCCTTTCACTGATACCTGAGATATAAAAGTTCCTCTCCCAAAGTTCTTTAACAGCTTGCTAGTTGAGGACTGTGCAAGAGGAGTTAACTGGAGAAGGTGCAAGGGTATGCAATTGCTCTAACACATTGTCTATTTTGGGCTTTATGGGTGAGAGAAACAGATGAAGATTATTTCCTCTCATTTTCTGTTTCTTATTAGTAAATTGTGAGGAATTCTTAGGTACAGAACATCCAAGTGGGATCATCATCTCTATGCAAAGGAAAATTATTTCCTTACAGTTTGGTCAATGTGTGAGTCAGAGTCACATAAAAGATGCAATAAGCTGCTTCTGCTTGCAATTAGAGGTTTTGTTCTGATGGCAAATTAAAATTTCAGTCCAGTAGAATTAGGTGTGAAATCTTGCAGATTTCCAGCTAACTGTATATTGTGATTCCATTTGGCAGCTAATAGGACTCAGAAAATTACTTTTATTGGCCTGTACTTTCCATTTTACATACACTTCTGGAATTGTGCGAAATGACAGCAAACTGCCATAAATATATCTTTAGTCTATATTCACTTCTCACTTCCTTCCTTTAATGAAAAGAAGGGAAACACATCAATTTTTATTCCTTTTTACTGAAAAAAGAGAGTAGCAGTCTTAATACTTACATGTCTAACAGATGGAAAGAAATTACAAAGAAATGCCTGAGAGTATATGTTCTGTTTTCTAGTGAAAAGTCTTGCACAGTCTAAGAATTCAAACATCTTTTTGGTGTTTTGTTTCTTTTTTTTTCTTTTTTAATCACACTTTCTCTAAAATCAGCCTGTTCATTCTTCTTTATATCTGCAGTTATGGGAATCATCTCAGAAGCTTCCAATTCTGCCACAAAGACAGATGTTTGAACAATTCCCTCCTGCTTAGTATCAGCTGTTAGCAGAGCTTGCCTCAGAAATAAAGTACCAGTTACCACTAATTCTGGCTGCCTTTTCAGGAATGATACAGGGAATTTTTAATAACAAAGCTACCTTCTTTGTTCTGAGGGTTAACTAGAAAACCCCTGGCAAACCCCGATTCAGCTCACCACCAGTAGAACTTGCTTGGGCTCTTTGCTTTTAAACTTGCAGACCAATTAGTATTATTTTAATGAAGATATGTTGGGGGTCTTCCCAGTAAGTCCCTCATGAATTCTGCATCTCTCCCTTTCAGGCGTGATGAATTCATTTATTTGTTGAATAAAAGCAAAGAGCAGGGCAGGTCACTTGAGAAAGAATGTAGGTAGCCTTATGGTGTGGTCTGCTGTGGGTGCAGAGAGAGGTAGCAGATCTGATGCTCTATTCAAAGATAAACAATCTTGAAGGTCTAGTTGAAGATGTTCCTCATTGAAGAGGGGTGGACTTGTGAACATTTAAAAGGTCCCTTCCAACTCAAACTGTTCTGTGATTCTATGGAGGCTACACCACCTGGGTAATGAGTACGACATTGTTACTTATAAGTTATTTATATATATATATATATATATATATATGTAACTCATAAGTTAGTGTCCTTAGGTGTGGATGTGAAGAGGATCTAAAGAAATTAAATGAAAACCACTCAAACCAGATGAGGATCTAGTGTCAGTATGCTTTTCAGAGTTTCCATGTGATTTGCTCTAAATAAGCTTCACAAGGAGTGGCATAAATGTAAAAAAATATACTTTTCTGTTTTCCTTTCTGCTGGTCCCTGTCTTTACATTATAGGAGAGGATCTTCTCCCTCAGAATCCAAAAGCCTTCTGAGAGGTGAATCACAAAACTAAAAAAATTAAAACAAACCTGACTTTACATACTAGAATCTTGACCAGGGCAGGAGTATTAAATTTCCTAGAAATGAACTCCCATGAAAAAAAAACATAAAAAATTAAGTGTAGAAAATCATGGCAATCCAAATATATGGTAACAAAACATGGCAAATCATTTTTGGAAGGAACCCATTTCATATTTATGAATTAGGATGACCTCTGCATAATTCACCAAAGTTCTTATTTTACCACTCCTGAGCTCATAAAAGAGGGTATATTTCATCCCAGGGGTAATGTTAAGATACTGTGAGTTAAGCCCAGAAATATGTGCTGAACATCCCCCATTAACAGACGGGGTGGAGCCTTCTGCATAGGAGTAAGTCTTGAGTAACCCTTTCACAACCTTCCTTCTCTCATGTCTGTCTCTGCTGCTATGCTCTGGTCTGAAGAAACTTTTCTGTGCAGAGACATGACAGCCTATGTGGCAACTGGACTTGCTGGAATCTCTGTGAGAGGTCTTCATTCCCTGGCTCGTAGGTGTTCAGCAGTTATTGGTGAACTAGAAACACCATTATTCATTTCTTTCTCTTTGTGGGCCACAAAGGGAAGGAAATTAGCATAAAAAAGTACAGCATACTGTGACCATAAGTATAACTAGGACAACTACTGTAACATGGGGTGGCCTCCAGCTCTGATAAATTACACCAAAATCTAATTTGGCTTCTTTAACAGCAGGCATCAGAAGAGTAATCCTTGCCCCACCTGTCATCTCTAAATAGGCCATATGTTCCTCAGCTCCCAAAGGTGCATGACAAATTCCCAGATAGCTACTCTGTTTGGAAACATAGGGAAGTTAGGGATGGACATATTCAAATAGCAAGGGAAAAACACCATCTCCCTTTCTTCTTCCCACTGCCCTTAAAGGGACAATAGGCCATCACCATGGTGTTCCTCAACCTTCGAGAAGAAATCTAGGTACTTCATCCTTTCTTGTTAAGTCCCATTTCCTCTTATTCTTGAAGATGCCTCTTTACTGTGGTGACATGTATGTCAATCAAAGAATTTGATTTTAGATTTTAGTCTAAATTTCCATTAGTAAAGTTCTGTAGTAAGGAGAGAACTGTACTTCATTTCATAGCTATGGTAGGAGCCGATGCTCTCCATTTTGGTGGGTTGCACAATTCTGCCAAGCTTATCTACCTAAAGCAAAATAGAGATCAAGTGTGGCACACTGTCCCTCGTGGACACATTTCCATACTGGTGAAACACCTCTGTTTCCTGAAATGGAACCACCTGGCTGACTTTGCAGATCTGATTGCAGGACTGAGTTAGTAACAGCAATGACCTATAAGCAGCCAATTGATGTCAGATTTGAGCTGATTAAGAAATCAGGAAAAGGGTGGGGGGTGTTGGTCCCCACAAACAATGATATCTGTCCATCACGAGATGGCATCCTGGAGCACATGGTGCAAAGCTTAGACTGCAGGAAACTGACAGCTCTGTGGAAAAGTTCTGCATAAAGATCTCTGCAGGCATCAAACTCTCTGGAAAACCTGCCAAAATGATTCCATAAAACATTATTTTTCAGTTTAATGAAGAAGCAGCATGCAGCAATACCCAGTAAACAGTTTTAAGTTCTCACCAGGACTCAGTTAATTAAAAACTAACATGAATTCGGAGCCTCAATACAAATGTGTGTCCATAATCATTGTGTGGTACTAGGGAGTCCAGAGTAGAACTAGATTTTAATCATTTCAAAAGAGCCTATAAACTTAGTAATTTTTCCATTGGTTCCCTTCCATAAAGTGAAGCTTATAGTCTGGAGTCCAGCCAGCTGGCGTTTCAGATGGGGAGAGCCCACAGCACTGCCTTGGGGAGCTGTTGTGGCCCGGGGGCACAGGAGCACACGAGCGGACTCAGCCCCACGGCCGAGGGGCAGGGAAGGTGGGCAGAGAGCAGACGGCAGGGCTGCAGCACCCGGGCCGAGCGGTAAGGGAGGTGGGCAGAGGGCAGGGCTGCAGCTCCATGGCCGAGCCTCAGGGGAGGTGGGGAGAGGGCAGGACAGCCCCCCTGGCCTAGGGGTAAGGGAAGTGGGCACAGGGCGGAGGGCAGAGGGCACGGCTGCCCCCTGGCCTAGCAGTAAGGGAGGTGGACAGAGGGCAGGACAGCCCTCCGGCCTAAGGGTAAGGGAGGTGGGCAGAGGGCAGAGGGCAGCGGGCAGGGCTGCGAGCCCCCCGGCCCGACCCTCCCGGCGCGGAGCCGTAAGCGCAGGCCGCAAGGGGGCGCGCGGGGCCCGCGAGGCCGCGCTGCGCGGTCGCGCATGTGCCGCGCCCGCGGCGTGCGGGGCCCGCTTCGCCCCGCGAGGCAGCTCGGGGGTGTCGCCGGCGGCCGCGGGACACCGAGGGCCGCTGGCCAGATCGGGGGCTGTTTTCCCAAGGGGAATGGAAATCTCGGGGCCCTGAAAAGCGGTGCCGGCCGAGGCCGCTCCCGCGGTCACGGCGCTGCGGGGGAAGGCGGCAGATGGGTTTTGGGGTGGGGGCGAGGAGGGGTGCAGCGTAGACCCCGGGTGCGGCCGGCGTTCCCGCCCCGGCGGAGGGAGCGTCTGCCGCTGGCCCCCGCCGGGAAACTGCTGCGGCTCGCCCGCCGGCTTTGGCAGCGCGGTCTGATTCCGCCGGCGTGCACGATTAAATGCGGGAAAGCCTCGAGACGGTCCGTGGATGAAAAGGAGGGCTTGGGCACTGCCCCGGGACAGCCAAGTGCCGCTGGCGGGTCGGCGGCGGAGACCGCAGGAATCCCGCCGGCCTGAGTGGGCGGGAAGTGGTCTGTAAGGTCAGGGGAGGATTCCCCCACGCTCCCGGAGGCGTTGGTTATGCGTGTGCGAAAAGGCGGCCTCGGAGGGCGATGGCGAGGAGGTGCGCGGGGCCCGTCGCCCTGGCCAAACCCGGCCGCCCGCACCCGTCTCATCGGCAGCGAGTATAACGCGGCGTTGGAATCAATCTTCCCGAAGGCTCCCGTGGTGAACACCTGATGCACGTCCTCCAGCTACCCATCATCCCCAAACTGTGTTTGTGGGCTCCTGGCTTTGTGTCTAGCCTCTTTATGGGGGCTTTATGTTCCAGCGCGGCGGCCTCTGCGAGGAGCGCTGTGCCGCCGGGTGCCCAGGTCGGCGCTGCCCTCGCTGGGAAGCGCCGGTGCGGGCTGCAGCCCGCCGTCTGTGCCGCGGCGCGACCCCGCTGCCCCCGAGCTCCCGGGGCTCTCCGTGGCTCCCTGGGCGCGTGCCCGTCCTCTTGTTTTAAATACACCGGTCCCGCGGGATGTTGTAACAGAGAAGTAAATACAGATACAAATGAAAGGCGCCTAACTTGAAGAACAACGTCAGTGTTGCACTGTAAAAATAATTGATCACTGTTCTTCAAAAAAAAAAGCATCAAAAGGCAACTAAGGTGAATTAAAAATAGAGAGGAATTGGAGGCTCTAATGTTTGAGTGGGCTCTGCAGAATCACACGATGTTACTGCACAGCAATAGTCGGTATCGAATTTATCTGAGTGCACAAGCAGGAAGAGATAACCTTGCTTTTACTTCTCTGTACAATTTCGGAGCCTTAGTGCTTGAAATTAGAGTAAGTGGGAAACAATGCGCATAATTACAAGGGGGAAAAAAGCCCACAACTGTTGAAAAACGACGAGCGGTTGGCAACACACAAAACATCACGAAGACAGTAGGCTTGCTAGGCACAGGGTGTATTTATCTGGATGGCTGCTTACCCAATTTCTTCATAACAAACACTATTTTTATAGCAAAGACGTTATTGGTCCTCATAATCACCATATGACCAGGATTTTGTCGCTTTCACTCGTGAATAATGATGGTGTTCTGTTACCGAGAATGTAATGATTTGGAGCTACAAAACTCGGATGTTCATCTTTTCTAGATGCTCCCTGTACGTGCATTTCACCCTCGTTTTGCAAAGAGCCCTACTTTGTACTTATTTTATTCACTTGACTTCGTTCAGCTGCTGGCCTCTGGCCAAGGAGGGCATCCTACCCGGCTATACTCTGGTGGTACAGAAAATCCTGTGAAGAAGACTGCAGTGTTCAGGCACTTGATTCAATGCAGTGGTTTTGCTAATGCATGCGGGTGTCCAGACGCAACTGGTAAAAGAACTTTCTAAATCTGCAGCCATGACTGCAGTTGAAAACTCTTGTAATAACCCCTACACCTCAGACTATAGCTGTGCGTGCATAGAAATGTGTACAGCATTATGACCTCAAGGATACAAGCTTTTAAAATCTAGATCAATGTAATTCTCTCTTTGGGAAGCATCATTTGATAGAAGTGTGTATCGCCCTTCCCCTCCCTTCTCTCCTACTTTGTTATGTCCCCTTATAACACTATTTGCTTTTAGGTTGGATGGTTTGTAGCTGAATACCGAGAGAGGTTTTTAAAATGGACACAGAAGTAACGTCATCTGGAACTCCTCGGCGGACGCTGGAGGGAAGGGGGCAGGGTAGAAGAACATTTAAACGCACTTTACAGCGTTTAAATGTTGCTCTGTAACCGCAACAGTGGCTGCAGAACTGCAACTGGGAAGGGAGGAGTAAGGAGGGGAAAGAGGGGGGAACAAGTCTATTGAACTGATATTTGAATCGGATTCACATTTTTAGTGCTGTTTATCAAGTGCATATGGAACTCCCTGGAACTGTTCACCAAGTGCTGACAAAATATACCTGTCGAGGAGACAAGAAAACATAGGAATATTTGATTCACCTCTTACTTATTTTGATAGCTGAGCACACCATTAATAACATCATAAAGGTATCACCTACAGTAGATTTACCATTTTTAATGATTTTTAATATTTAAAATTTTAATGTTTAATATTTGTGGTATTTTCCTGCAATACTATAAACGTTTCTTTAGGTAGGCAAATGCTGCTGTCTACTTAGTTCAGAGTGACTTGTCAGGCTGAGGAAGCCATTTCCTATAACAGGTACTTTGACAAGGATACCAACAGTCTTATATATCAAAGAGTAGTCAAACCGCAGTGAGATTCAAAGCAGAGAATGTTGGAACATTTTGTTCCAGCGAACGAGCTAAAAATAACAGCTCCTCCCTGTGTTGGAAGGGGCTTGATTTTCACATTTGGAAGGGCAAATAGGAATCAGATTATTAATATAATCAAACAGAAAAATCTGCCCGAAGAGGTGAAGGGTGAAAGTTCTGAAGTGTCAGTGCTCAAAAAACCACAAAAACCAGAGTCCAGAGCCGGGGCTCTGAACAGGATTTGATGGGTTGTTGGGAGACTTAATAATTTTGTACCTTCCTCATGGCACATCAGTGTTTGAACTAGGTCATGGTAATGCCAAATTGCACAGCCAAGTGTAATGCTGCTCCAGCCGTTCTGCCACTCGAAGCCAAACGTGAAAGTCTCATTTTCAGCCCGAAAGGAAGTTCCTTCCACAATCTCATGTTTTGCTTACCTGCAGGACAGGCTCTCTAAACATGTCAGAAACTGAGGAACTGCTTTGACGTATATTTCGGAGATCAGACGCTAAGTGTGGTGCACCTCAATAAGGGAATGCCTAACAACATGATAATTGCACCATCCACGTTACTGAGATATTTGATTAGAGTCTCTCAGCATCCACCGTGTGGAAAAAGAGGGCTTGTTTAGTTGCAGGCTGCAGGAGAAAATAAAAGCAAAATAACATCATCAAAACCCCAGACGCCCACGCTTTTAATCTCCCAATCACTTTTTCTGCAAGCAGGGAAAGCTTTCCTCTTTTCCAGCAAGCGTGCTACCAGATAGCTGTTAGTTCCCTATTTTCGTGAGCGGCTTGTGGGTTTGTTTTTGGATTTAAATATTTAAAGCACTGTAGAGACGAAGAATGGTATTAACAGAGCCGGCGGCAGCCCAGCGGAGTGGCGTTGTTCCCCAGCGCCCGTCCCCGCGAAGAGCTGCGCTGCCCGGGGCACGCTGCCGCTCCGCCCGCGGCTCCGGCCGCAGCCCTCCAGCATCCCGGCTCAGCTGCGCCGTGCCGCCGGCCCCGGCGTCCCCGCCAGCCGCCGGCCTCCGGGGCCGCCGCCCGCCGCAGCCAGGCGGGTCGGGGCTCCGGCTCTCCTGTCCCCCCGGCACTGGACGGCAGCCTCGCTCCCTTCGTGCTTACCTTATTTTCATCTGGTTCTACGACACAAACTTTGCGTGGTGTGTGCCCCCCTCTCCTTCCCCCGCCGCCCACTCCCCTCCTGCGGACACAAACACAAGCTCTTCTTGATTCGGTTCCTCTGCACCGGGATGGGGCAGCAGTCCTGGCCTGTCTCTTTCCCGGGGCAAGAGGCTTTCCTTTCTCCGCGCAGGGAGCCGGTGCCGGACTTTCACCCTTACCTCTCTATCGCCTAATAGGAGCAAGCAAGTCCCGCACCTCCGGCCTCCTGCCCCAGCCTCCCTTCGCGTCCCGCCTGCGGGACTTCCAGCTTTCCCCCTTCTGTCCTCCCGTTTGTCTGCCCGCCTGCCTGCCGCCTTTTTTATTTTCCCCGTCAGTGACTTAAGCCCAAGCCAAAGGAGGCATAAGGAAAAATACAGCCGTGTGCTCCAGGTCTATAAATACAGCTCGGAGAGAGCGTCCAAAAGTTTGGAAGGAACGGAAGAAGGCGTACGGAGACAAAAGCCAAGCACCGCTCTGCTGCTGCCGATGCTCTGGTTATGCTCGGGCTTCGCGGCGGCGGATCGAGCCCGTTCGCTGTTTGTTTGGGTGGGATTTTTTCAGGAGCGGGGCGGTGGCGGTAGAGTGATCGGCACATTCATTATTTCAGGTTTAAATATGTGAATTTTAGCCACAAATACCAGTCGATCTATCAGCCAACTTTGCAGCTCCTATTGTGACAGGAAACTTTCCTAATGCGACTGAAGGCGCTAGTGGAGGGTGATTTTTTTCTTGCTTTGTTTTGGTTTTTGTGGATTTTTAATTTTTTTGTTTTGTTTTGTTTTTGTTCCGTTTCCATCTAGTGAAGCCTAAGAGTCTGAACATTTCCTTGTTCCCTCCGTGTTTTATGTATCCATCGGAGAGAGAGACAAAATAAACAGTCGCGTCTTAAAAGGAGGGGTAGCGGCACCCCTACCTGCTGGGTGTCGTCTTAGACGATACTCTCTTAGAAAGAGTATCCTGCCTTTGGAACACGCCTAAGTGGTGCTGCCGTCGCCGTAAAAGTAACACTGGGATGCCAGAGAGGAAATGACCAACATATGTCCTCTGTATCCTAAGTATTTATTCACGTTAACGGCTGTCCTCTTTATCCTACGCAAGAAATTGGTATTAGACTGAAAATATCACTCTTTCTCAGGAGGAAGCAATACCAGTCCAGAATAATAACGACAGAAATAATAACTCCCAGTTTTGGAGTTCGTCAGTTTGGGAGATTGAGGTTGTGAGGAGGAAGCAGGTCCGAAGTTAGGGAATGAAACTAGCAAGCGGAGAAAGTGACTTCAGTTGCGCAGGCAGCCTTTGAAAGCGTAGAGAAGGACATGCCAAGCTGCCCTGCAGCGAGAGTGTGAAGCGGAAGCAGCGAGAGGCCGCAGAACAAGAGGAAAGATGCTGCCCGGAGCGGCCGCCTGCCGCCCCCTCCAGCTGCCCAGAACGGGCGGCCCCAGCCCCAGCGCCCGCCGGAGGGGAGGGAGCCAGGGGAGCGGGCAGGGGGCCTCTCCCCCCCGAGAGCAAAGTCATCGGCAGCTGCTGTGAGACAGAAATACGGAGTGCTGAGGAAATAAGGGATGAGAGGCAGGAGAGAATTCAAAGGAGCAAAGAGACGCTTCAGCCTTCAGCACTGCAGCTTTGCAGGAGTTGGTGCTTTCTTTGCACGTAAAGCCCTAAGCAAAAAGAGATACTCCGAAGAACTCTGTAGACTTCCGAGAAGCTCTTTTCTGGGCCCTCCTATGTCTTCGACAGGGGCAGGAGACAGCTTTATCGTGCACTGCTACAAAACGGAGCTCGTCACCCTGCCCCCATGGATGGCACTGTCATGCAAGGGGTAGAGGTGACCAGGCTTGCCGGTCAACATTGAGGTTTTTGTTTAATTAGCAGTGGTGAGGGATGTTCACAAGCATTACTTTTGGCTCAGGGAAAGGATGATGAAACAGAAATCATGTGTCTTCTTTATCTCAAAAAATTCACCAGCGCTCAATGAGTAATGAAACAGCAATACTGCACAGCTTTTGTGGCAGCAGGGTTGTGAAGCCATCCCAATACCTCCTCACTGGGCTAGCTCTCACCACATTTGGCATTTCACACATGTAACACTTGGAGCAGAGGCTTCCCCACCATGCACATGTGCTGCCACCAGACCACCACAGCTTTACTGATGACAGATTTCTAGTAACTCTAGAGTTATTTCCAGGGGATGGATTGCACTGCCAGCCCTTGCAGCCCTGCAGTCTGCCCTGGGGTGAGCAGGGAGCTAGGGGTGGTGAGGGGGCTCAACACAGATGGGAGTAAAACACCTCACAGGCACAGGGACAGAGAGGTGCAGCTTATCCTGCACCTCAGTTGGTGTTCCTGCTCACTGGGGTTAGACTGCCAGCCCTCCAGGAGCAGTGTGGAGCCAGAGCTCAGTCTATTTAAAGCCTCTGCTCTTGCTGCAGACTCCAAGCAGTGTGTGCCAATCCCCTTGGCTTGGCAACATTATTTTTGGCTGCAGCTCCCTCCCACATTGTAGGAAATACAATAAAATTAAAACAAACATTAAAAAAAGAAATAGAAAAAAAAAAAAAGAAAGAAAAAAGAGATGCTGAACAAGTGCTCTTGGCAGGGCAAGGAAAGGAGCCCAGGAGTGCCATGTCTTCCCTGTCCTGCTGTTCTGTAGCCGCCTCCCTTCCAGCTGTGGCACCTCTGCCTGCCCGGTGTGGGGTGAGAGGAGGCAGCATAGCAGTGTAGCCCCACACTGGCTGCCATGGGACCTTTCCCACTGCAGTTGCCTTGACTCCCCTGGGCTAAAAGAGAGTGGGCACCAATGTGGTCCTTGCCGTAGGGGCAGTAGCCTGCCCTATGCCCTAGGGCAGCTGCCAAGGATGGGGTTGGGATCACCCTGATCTGAACTGCAATTTGGACCTCTCTGTGTGGGCATTGCTGCATTAAGGATGGTGCTGTGTCCTTTTGGTGTGGTTTGGATTTAATCTTTATCCTGCCTTCAAGGAGTGGTGTTGGGACAAGCTGCAGCTTTGTAGGTGCTGGAAAAGGCCTATTTCTAATATTTTCCATTCCACTATCACAGCTCAGTCTTAAAAAGAGGGTAGCAATGAAAATAGATATTTAAAAAAATCCTACTCCTGAATTGAGACCATTAGAGTTATAGGCACAATGCATTCAAGAAACAAAGAAACCTATCTTTTCTCAACTTCATCTGTCAAAATTTCACAGAAAACAAGAGAGAATGGGATTCAGTGAAGGAAAGTAAAACCCTCACTGAAGGAAAAAAAACTAACTCCTCTCATTGGTGCAGAAGAAAACACCAAATAATATTCCAATGGAAAAGCACTGCTTGCTTTTTTTTTTTTTTTTCTCTCTCTCTAATATATCTCTATAAGAGACTATGATGCAGATATGCAAAATACATTATATATTGAAAAATTTCTATTTATGGGTTGTAAGTTAACTTTACCTCTTTGAAGAAGCTCATGTATTACTTTCCATCACATATTGTGAAGTCTAATAGACCAATCTTCATGCCCTTTACACATCTTTCTGCTGCTTCAGCTCCTCTTCCAAACATATTTTCCTTTCTTTAGCTCGGCAAGAAGCAGAAGGAAGACAGAGAGGAGTTATGATTAAAATGGTAATGTCGAGGGGTAGGAGGCTAATGAAAGAAGTAAAACTTGCTTTGATTCGGTTTTGCCTTACCAATCAGTACCATTCTTGTGACAAGGCTTGCTTTTCCTCATCCTAGTCAAATCGAGCTGCTCTTGGCCTAGACTGACTTCCTGCTGCTGGCAGTCACACCTTCTTTTGACTTTCTCTGCTTCCATTACCCAAGAGCTTCATGGTGTCCTGCTTTGCCACTTGCTTGCAGTAGTACATATTGTGCTGCAAAATATGTCACTTCATTAATCAGTTAAACCAATTAACAAAAAGATTAACAGTCTTACCTTAGTATCTTAAGTGCATGCACCTCTTTATTTAGAGTATTCACAGAACTACTGGGTATGATTAAACTACAGAGAAGCTCCATTATAGCCTGTTTTCCTATGTTAAAAATGTTCTGAAAATGTCACATTTGGAACTCAAATTTCCTGTGTCTAGTAAAAGATATTAAAGTGCCAGGAAGTCTTCCTCTGAACTCAAAACAAGTCTTTCAGAACGTCACTATAAGTTTAAAGTATGAAGTAGGATTGATATTTTCGCTTATATACTTCCAAGTAATTTTTTTTGCTCTGAACTTATATGCACCTGAGAGACAGGAATGCTTGTCCAGGAATTGCTTCCATTCTAAAACTGGCTTTGAGAGTGAGTGGCTCCTGGCAAAGTTCAAAACTGTTATGCCACACTTCGGTAACTCTTCAGGGCTACAGTGCTGTTCCCTGAGCCTGTATTGTTCCACTCCTCTTCCTTATTGTGGCTTACCTCTATGCAACACAAATTACCTGTGGTCACCTGTGCCTTATGCATATGTAATCTCTTGTCATGTAGCTCATTCCATTTTTACATGCTTCTCTCACCTTGGACATGCTGCTGAGGTAAACCAGGTCGTAGCACCCAGCTCATCAAGGGGTTTGGTTACCCTCATGGTTTACAGCTTCAGCTTGGTAGCCAATTGGAAAATTGACACTGTTAGTGGGGCATGTTCAGGGTTGAAGATAAGAAAGCTTTGTATGATTTCAGGATGTGCCATTATAAATCCAGTGCAGCAAAATACAGCAACACACTTTGTTGTGCACCTGCGCAGCTGTGACTATGGTGAACTTGAATAGCCCACGACTGCTGAAAATACCTGCTTTTGAAATAAATATTTTATTTTTAAAAGAAAACTATGAGTTTTCTTTAGCTGCTCTGTCTTCTTGCTTCTCTAGACAGCACTCTCTGTCATTAACATGGCAACAGTATGGAGTTATACTCCTGAGACATTGTCTCCAAGTCCTGACTGTAGATCATCAGTGATTGCATGTTGTAAAAATCTCCACCCAAGGCTGTGGAATTTGCTTTCCTTAAGGTTCCCCATTCCTCACATCCTAGGAGGGAAGGAGAGAATAAATTTGACAGTTCGGGCTAATCTTCACCTTAGTCTTGTGTCAGTGCCTGCTTAAATAGTCCCCCTCTCATATCTAGGATGCCAGTACTTACCTTTAGCATTTAAAGATTAATATATCAACATTGAGTAGGCTTCTTGGCCAGAAAATCTTCCTGTATCTCACCAACCCTGTCTCTATCATGGTGCGCTCTTTACTAAGTGACTCATGTGGTGTCAGGTACAGATTTTTACACACAAGAAACTTACTTGTCTTCTGACCAATAATCTCTCCTTACAAACATTCTGGAATGACCACCTAGTCCATTTTCCCTGACTTTTCTTTCCAGTGATTTATTAAAAATCAGAAATTAACCTGAAATTCCCCCTAAAACGCACTCATGAACTGGGTACCTGCTTGCTAGCAGATGACATACTGGCCAAAATGCAGGGATAAAGGAGGAACTCTGTGGTCATACCAGGTCACAGAATACAAAGAACATAGTTTTCTTTTCTTTGAATTGAGAACAAGAGATGTGCTCATAATTTTTCCTGAAGAAACCTTCCTCCA